AGGCCCAGCACTTTGGGAGGCCAAGGTGGGCAGATCACCTGAGGCCAGGAGTTTGAGATCTGCCTGTCCAACATAGTGAAACCCATCTCTACTGAAAATACAAAAATTAGCCAGGCATGGTGGCACATGCCTGTAATCCCAGCTATTCAGGAGGCTGAGGCAGGAGAATTTCTTGAACCTGTGGAGGGTGCAGTAAGCTGAGATTGTGCCACTGCAGTCCAGCCTATGCGACAAAAGTGAAATTCTGTCTGAAAAACAAAAAAAAGAAAAGAGATCCAATCTAGACACTAGGGGTGCTCGTCGCTACTGGATTAGTCATTGTTTCTAGGCCTTTTCAATGGACAGAGTCAGGAATTTATTTAATGTAAAATAAACTCACTACTCTTGCATCTATTTCTGAGATCTAAAGATACAGGTTCTCATTGACACCAGTATAATTACTCATTTTATATTACCCCACAATACAAGCACAGTAGTCTCTGAGATGTTTCTTATATTACACAAATAATACATATGCTTATTGTTTCAGGGATCAGTGATGTTCAGTGATGTGTCCATAGACTTCTCTCAGGAGGAGTGGGACTGCCTGGACCCTGTTCAGAGGGACTTATACAGAGATGTGATGTTGGAGAACTACAGCAATCTGGTTTCAATGGGTAAGGGCATCCATACCAGTGATTCACAGTTCTCTGGAATGTCTGCTTCTTCCACAGTGAATTTCTCAGCTGCTTTTCAACTTACTAGCTGAATTTCTGCTCTTTATTACCAAACAAATGGTTTGAGCTGAAATGAAAAAGAAGAGTAGGAAATTGGAAGCTCCAGTGGGCTGTGGTTGAAGCTTCATCTTCATCTTTCTTTGGCAGTTCCTGTAGTGGCATGTCTTCCTTGATCATCAGGGGACTAAATCAGATTGACCCACAGCATAACTATGTTCCATATGTTTTTTTGTGAGCAGGACTTTACACTCCTAAGCCTCAAGTGATTTCCTTGTTGGAACAAGGGAAAGAGCCCTGGATGGTTGGCAGAGAGCTTACAAGAGGCCTGTGTTCAGGTAAGTGAGAAGTGACTGCTGGACAGGAGAAAGGCATGACTGGTAATAACTCAGCTGGTCAGGGAGGAAACAGCACCTTTGAGCTCCCATCGAGAAACTAGGGCTATGGAGAAAATAAGTCCTTTTAGCGTAGTTGTTATATAATCTGTTTTACCCTTTTTCTCTGTTACTACTCTTCTGCTGTTGGTCTCCAACACGCCTCTTAATTTCAAGCAGAAGGTACCTTTCACTTCCCTCCAAGAAAACCCTCTTTTACCCATATTTTAGATTCAGCTGCTTGATAGCTTTTTTTTTTTTTTTTTTTTTGGAGACAGAGTTTCACTCTTGTTACCCAGGCTGGATGCAATGGTGCCATCTTGGCTCACCGCAACCTCCGCCTCCTGGGTTCAGGCAATTCTCCTGCCTCAGCATCCCGAGTAGCTGGGATTACAGGCACGCGCCACTATGCCCAGCTAATGTTTTGTATTTTTAATAGAGACAGGGTTTCACCATGTTGACCAGGATGGTCTCGATCTCTTGACCTCGTGATCCACCCACCTCGGCCCCCCAAAGTGCTGGGATTACAGGCATGAGCCACCGTGCCCGGCTCCTTTTTGTATTTTTTTGAGATGGAGTTTCATTCTTGTTGCCCAGGCTGGAGTGCAATGGCAATGAGCTTGACTCACTGCAACCTCCACCTCCCGAGGTCAAGCAATTCTTCTTCAGCCTCCGTAGTAGCTGGGATTACAGGCGTGTGCCACCATGCCCAGCTAATTTTTAGAGACAGGGTTTTGCCATGTTGGCCAGGCTCGTCTTGAACTCCTGACCTCAGGTGATCTACCTCCCTTGGCCTCTCAAAGTGCTAGGATTACAGGTATGAGCCACGGGTCCGGCCGCTTGCTAGCTTTTTTTTAACTCTCTCTTTCTCTTCTTTTTTTTAAGGGTCTGGCTCTGTCACCCAGGCTGGAGTGCAGTTACATGATCATAACTCACTGTTATGATCAAACTTCTGGGCTTAAGCAGTCCCCCATCTCAGCCTTCCAAGTAGCTGGGACTATAGGCACGTGCCACAATGCCTGGCTAATTCCTTTTCTTCCTCTTCTGCATTTTTTAGACTTGTGCAGGTGTTTTCTATTACCACTCCCCAAAATAATGTAATTGTGTCTGTATACACACATGTGAATACACACACACACACCCCCGGCCCACGTACCACTGGTCTTCATTATAGCTGGCTGTCAGTAATCTGTTTTATCAGATTGTCTTCAATGTTTTCTTTATCAAACTTTTTTTTTTTTGAAATGGAGTCTCACCCTTTTGCCTAGGCTGGAGTGCAGAGGTGAGATCTTGGCTCACTGCAACCTCTGCCTCCTGGGTTCAAGCGATTCCCCTGCCTCAGCCTTCTGAGTAGCTGGGACTACAGGTGCGTGCCACCATGCCTGGCAAAGTTTTTCTATTTTTAGTAGAGATGGTTTTATGGTGTTAGCCAGGATGGTCTCAATCCCCTGACTTTGTGATCTGCCCGCCTTGGCTTCCCAAAGTGCTGGGATTACAGGTGTGAGCCACTGCTCCCAGCCTTGACCTTTTTTTCATTTCCTGGTTTGTGTAAGGGAATCTTACAGGTGCTACAGTTTACTAATTGTGTTACCTTTACGATCTCAAGGTCCAAAAGTGGTGCTAAAATATATATATATGATTTCTACAAAGTAGAATAGTATAAAAGAGAAATGAGATCAGGAGTTTGGTAGAAAGTCAAAAGCTATGTAGAGGTGGAATTAATCCATACCAAAATCATAGGTGGAGCCTTGGCAGTGACTGCAGTGACCATGTAGAGAGACATTGTTGGGGCCAAGACAGAAAAAAAGGATCTTCTGTGCCTATATTAAAAAGGAAGAGGTGGCAGAGAAGGGGAGATTTGGGATGAAGGAGGAGAACCAGAAGAGTACTTACTGAGCACTGCTGTGTACCAAACACTGGTCCAAGGGCTGGGACTTCAGTTAGAGTCAAGGCATTCTAAAACTCTGCACTTCTGAAGCCTACATTCTAGAGGGTAAGAGAAAATGTGTTAGTCCGTGTTGTGCTGTTAGACATGATACCTCACATTGAGTCAGTTATAAAGAACAGAAATTTATTTTCTCATAGATCTGGAGGCTAAGAATTCTAAAATCAAGGCACTGGCATCTGATGAGGGCCTTCTTGCATTCTCATGTGGCAGAAGATAGTAGGGCAAGAGAGCCAACTCCCTCCGTCAGGCCCCTTTATAAGGGCACCCAAACCCATTCATGAGGGACAGGTCCTCAAAGCTTCATCTTCTCTTAAAGGCCCCATCTCTTTTTTTTGAAATTTTTTCTTTTTCCTTTTTTTTTGAGACAGGGTTTCACTCCGTCACCCAGGCTGGAGTGCAGCGGCACAGTCATGGCTCACCACAGCCTCAACCTCCCAGGCTCAGTTGATCCTCCCACCTCAGCCTCCCAAGTAGCTGGGACCTCAGGCAGACATTACCACGCCCAGCTAATTTTTGTATTTTTTGTAGACAGGATTTCGCCTTGTTGCCCAGGCTGGTCTCTTAACTCCTGGGCTCAAGCCATCCACCCACCTTGGCCTCCCAAAGTACTAGGATTACATACTTGAGCCAGTCTGCCTGGCCCCCACCTCTTAATACTACCACATTGGCAAGAGCTGAATTTTGAAAAAGAGACTTTCAAACCATAGCAGAAAATAAACATATGTCAAGTATTTATATAGAAAATAATATTAGCATGACATTAATATATAATATGGTTAATGTATAATATATAAATATACTTTTAGAATTGTATATGATTTATATTTATATAATATGCAATACATTGGTATAGTGTAAATAATAGATATCATATATTAATACTTCATATTTCTATATTATTATTTGTATGTGTGTATATAAAATGTCAGGTGGTGGGTAATAAGTGCCATGAAGGGAGGCTAGAGAGGGCCTTAGTAAAGACTGGAAGGAAGTGAAAGAACAGGTCATATAAATATCTCCTGGAAGAGATTTAGGCACAGGGAACAGGAAGAACCAAGTACTCGAGTTCAGAGCTTGAATGAGCCAAGTGGGAACTGTAGAAGAAGAGATCAGGAAAGGCTTACGAGTGTTTGCATGCTGGGTGCAGGTCAGGGTGGGAGGTGGATGTACCTGTTGATGATTTTGGGTCTTGTGGGCCTTGAATTCTGTTCCGAATGAGGTGTAAATCCATTGAATGATTTAGCAGAGTGACATGATCATGTTTGTAAAGGATCATGTTTGCTCAAGGGTTCCTAACTTTGAATTCCTTTAGGTAGAATTCAGGGAGTCCATGAACTTGGATGAGAAGAAAAAATACATCTTTCTCTTTAATATCCTCTCACTGAAATGCAGCATTTCTTCCTATTGTAGTGTATGGGACAAACCATAGTAGTCCCGGTGGTAGTAGTAGGAGAGTGGTTCCTGTGACTCTGGCATCAATGAAAATCACAGATACATTCATATTCTTTTACTGTTTTGTAGGCATATTGAAATATTTATGCTCATCATTACTTCAGAATTAATGTAGTACTAGGCTCGCCACTAGGTCTTGTTTAATGTTCTACTAAAGAAGAAAACTCCAGGCAGAGAGAAGAATCCCTGTGAAGGCTCCGCTGGGGAGAAGCTTGGTGTGTTTGAAGGACTAAAAGCCGGTGTTGGTGGGCCCCACGATCAAGTAGGAGTGGAGTGTGAGTGAGGGCTGGGCAGACAGGCAGAAACCACAGCATTCAGCCTTTGCAGGAGATTGTGAGGAGTGTGGACCTTGAGCAGTGGAAGCCTAAGCCAATGATATTATTCCCTGAATAGATTAAAGGGTGAGGGAGCTTGGTAGGGAGACTGGTTGAGGAGGCTCCTTCACTGGTCTGGGAAAGAGTTGATTCTGCTTTGGAAGATGACATTGCCCGTGGAAGACAGAAGAGGACAGTTTTGAAAACGTTACTTGGGCGCTTAACTAGATGAAAGTTACTGAAAGATCATATAGAGGTAGAAGGAAAAAGATTGTGTTGGAATGAATTCCCTGTTCCTGTTTTGATCTACTCCAACAAGCTTCATTTTGATATCTTCAAACTATTTAATTTGCCTAATATCCCCATTTTTTTTTTTTTTTTTT